TTTTCGTTGATGAAGTGCGCACCATGCAGTACTACGAGGCCGGCCTGCGTCTTGGTCTTATCACGCGTGACGAGGCCGCGATGACGCTGTTTGGCCACAAGGCCGATGGCACACCACAGCCGGAATAATAAAAAAGCCTGCCACCGGAACAGGTAGCAGGCCGTCACCGGTTACGTTTAACAGCGTTACCGGCACCCACGTGGTATGTGTGAACAGGAGAGGTAAATTTGGAACGTGACAGAATCCGCAACACTCCTTGAAAAAGTAGGCAGTCAGTCCGAAGAGGTGGCCGACTGCCGAACCGAAACACAAGGAGGTCTTGCGCGAATATATATACACCAAATTATTTTAAATTGTCAATATTATTTATCGTATTCCGGTTACTATATTCTAATCCTGCGCTTTTGCAATATCTTCAAGTGTTTCATATTGTGACCTTTGCCAATCATAAATGCGAATGAGCATAGGGAAAAATAGCATATCACCGTGAATTATATTCCTGGCAAATATAAACCTGGCCACGTATTCATCCACACCGAACGAAACCGCAATCTTTGTGAGCTTTTCGCGCGTGATCAAAACATTGTCATACTGAATATCGACAGCATATACCGTTTGGCAGCTGCGTATTCTATCGTGCGGCGTTGTAGACTTTTCAAGCTTCCGGCGCAGTACAACGGTGGCGAATGCACCCTCGCCACAAGCCGGTTCTAAAAAGGTGGCACCCGGTTCACTTACACCCGGCTCGCACAAATCGACCATTTTTTCAGCCAGCCAACGCGGTGTTAGCACCTCCGCAAAGGTCTTTGCACGTTCGCGCGATTTGATGCCGGTGAAGTCACCCTCAAACCACCCAAACTCTTGTTGATACTCCGCATCGCTTTTATCCGCGTTTATACCTTGTGCGGTCTGTCGGTCTTCCATTCTACACGCAGTCTTTGCCAACGTTCATTTCTCCGTCAAACCGAGTTTTGCATCAAGCTTATCAAAGAAATCATCTTCTCCGCCTTGATAAAACCATTGTTTATACTCATACATTTTATATTTAACTAATCTTCTCAATAAATCTCGTTTTTCACATCTGTACTCATAAATTTCTACTGCCTTTCTAAGTCTATACTTTCGTTTTTGTTCTGCAATTTGCTGTTGGTGCTTTCTGCGATATTCCCTCTGATACGCTTTTATTTTTTCAGCATGTCGCTTGTAATAGCGTCTATTGTTTTCTCGAATTGCATCGCGACGACGCTCTTTATATTGACGCAATTTTTCATGGTTTAATGATCTGTATTTTATCCCATAGGCTTTTATTTTCTCTTTGTGAGCTAGATTATAGCGCTGTTGACATTCTCTCATTTTCTCAGGATGCGTTTGTTTATACCTGCGATTTTTTTCTCGAATTTTTTCTTTGTGTGTGTCGTTATATCTTTTATGTCTTTGCTTTTCTTTTTCTCTAACCTCTTCGTTTTGACGGTATATTTTCTGTTTCTGGTTTAACTCTTCTCTGTGTTTCTCTCTATACGCCTTTCGATATTTTTTTATTTCTTCTTTATGACGCTCTCTATATTTAGCCGCGTCCCTCTTCTTTCTTTGTAGAAACCCGTCTAACCTTGCAAGCCATTCTAAACAAGATTCATTCTTTTTTCGTTTTATAGTTGACACTTCTTTCCCTACTCCTTGCGTGATCTGCGCCACCTCCGCAAATACTCTTTGTAATAGTCCGGATGCTGTTCGCGAAATCTGCGGCACTTTTCGATGTTTCTGGCTCCGGCGCGGCTTTTGAAGTAGTCAATTATCTGCGCAAGCTCTTCTGCACTCAATCCGGTATACCGCCGCACTTCATGCAGTATGCTGCGCAGATGCACGCCACCAGGCACCGTAAAAGCCTGCCACATTTTTTCTAACTCTTCATCCGTAAACACTTACACCCCTTTTAAGATATTTATGACTGCTTCCTCGACGTTTGTCTTTTCACGCAGTGCGCGCCAGGCTGCTGCATCGATGGGACCACATTCAATGTAGTGGTAGTAGACCACGCGATTTAAGCCGCTTTGTGCCTGCCGGCGTTCGCCGATGCGTTCTAGCACCTGCGCATACTGTTCACCGCTGTAAAACGGTTCCACCAGTATCATGTGGTGCGATTGCTGTTGCAGTGATAGGCCATGTGCGGCAGATGCCGGATTGATCAGCAAGTGCTTGAAACGGCCCTCTTTAAATGCATTTATATCCCTTGTAGCATCCTGCAAACTGTCTGTCAAAGCGTCCATCGTGGCTGTCCAGTTGGCCACGATGACAAACCGTTCGCCGGCGTTGTCGTCTAGTATATCGCGCACCGCATCCACCTTGCACGTACTGTGCCGCACTACGTCTTTTGTGACCGTGTAGCTAAAACCGCTGGCGAGGTGCAGTAGCCGTGTTGCCAGCACAGCGGCGTTGCACGCATACACGGTGGTATCTGCCGTGCGGATGACTTTATCCTTGCGCAAGGCCGCGATGGCAGAACGCTGTGTAGGTGTGGGTTCAATGCGGATGGTGTTGTCTACATGGCCATAAGTGGTGATCGTGGGCTCGAAATACTGCGCAAAGTCTTTTACAGCGGCCAGCACTGCATCATACGCACCCGGTTTTGGCTTCCATAGAGGATATTTCGGCGAGTGTGATACATTGTCGTGATACCGCTGCATAAACCGCGACTTTGCACGGCCAAAGGTGCGTCCGCTGTCAATAAATGACACCTGGCTATACAGATCACCCAAAGACTCGCTGCACGGTGTGCCAGTCAGCAACACCACGCGCTTGCACCTGCTGGCGACGGCATACAGCGCCTTTGCACGCTTTGTGCCCTGGCGAAACATAAACCCCTTGAGCTTACTGCTTTCATCGATGATCAGCGTGTCGAGGCCATCGGGTATGATGCCGCGCAGTAGCTGTGTGTTTTCAAAGTTGGTGGCGTAAAAATTTGACGCACTGCCGGTGGCGGCATCACGGCTGCCATAGTAGCGGCAATCAATGCCCATGGCATTGGCTTCATCCGGCCACACCATGCGTGCCACGCGCAGCGGTGCCACCACCAGTGCATTTGCAGTGATGGCAGACAGCACCGCACGCGTTTTGCCTGCGCCCATCGGCGATATGACCAGGCAACGCGGGTGCGCTTCAATGAACTCTTTTATGGCTGTTTGATGTGGGTAAAGCATATCTACTCCTTACTCATGCAGACCTAATCGAGCATCCAAATCGTCGAAAAAGGCATCTTCACCCCCATCCTGCCAGGATGCGAACTCGGCCGCGCGGGTGCGGTGCCGCCAAAACTCGCGTGCCACGGCTGCTTTTTCGTAGATGGTGGTGGCGTGCCGTATGCGATACGTGCGATTAACCGCAAGATAATGCTCCCGGTGTTTATAGTAGTGTGTCAAGGATGATTTGCAGCACTGCTCGCGATGCTGCCGATAGTATTCGCGAGCTTTTTGTGGGTGTCTTTTGCGATATCGCTTTGAGTACTCACTGTGCTTCCCCGGGTGGGTTTTATACCACTCGGCATTTTGTGCAAGCGCACGGTCGCGGTGTTGCCTGTACCATGCCCGGCTCCGTGCCTTGGTGAGCTCGCGGTGTTGCCGATGCCATTCCCGCGCATTTGCAAGTGCTTGCTCCCTGTGTTCCCAATAATAACGCTTTGACTGTTCGCGCCAGCGTGCACGCAGTATGGCCACGCGTTCGGCATACGCCTCGTCGGTTTCGTCTCTTCGTTGTTTCGGTAACTTTGGCATTTGTAACCTCCTCGTATACGGTTTACGGTTTTTTACACCGGTTCAATCGGGTTGTGCACTCTGCAAGGGCATCGCTACACGCATCTAGCTGCAAGGCGTCGTCGTCCCATCCCACGTAGCACCATGTCAGCTGCACCTCGTGGCCACGTAGCTTGTCGTTGCACTGCTTGAGTTGTGCCGAAAGACCATCGGCGCCATCGATTATGGCCATCAGCTGCGCATTCTGCTGTTCCAAATTTTCGACCCGTTCGCGCAGTTCGGCCGTGTCCAGGTCGTCACAGCTCGCGGCCATCGTGGCTATGATTGCTGTGATTATCGTGTGTACTCTAAAAGTCATAGGTCCTCACACTCCACGTCCACCGTTAAGCAGCAAACAGCCCCATCACTTGAGCGGTTAAGCATTTGCACTGTGCTTGTCACTGCCGTTAAATCGTCGACGTCTTGAGATACGGCCCGCACAAACGCGGCATCCGCACCGCTTCCGCCTGTGTGCAGGTAGTCCGCTATGCACTGTTGCAGTTCATTTACCGTCATTGTCTACTCCTGTATAGTACGTGCGCAGCGCATCCACTTTAGCCGCGCACAGTTCGTATGCGTACAACAGCGCGCTTGCATAGTGCGCCAAATCTGCATTTGTCTGTAACTCCACCACCGGTTTATTGCACGGCATCAGCAGTGCGGCCGGTGGTGGCGGCACTGTTTGCATGATCTGTGCCGAATGCGTCGCGCACGCAGGCAGGCAGAACGCAATCACCCCACACAGGTGGTATACTGCCGAGATCGACGTCACGTGCGCTTTTTTCGTTGGTTGCATTCTCTGCCTCCTGTGCCATAGTACGCATGGCTGTTTCAAGTGCGGCAATGCGTGCCGCTGTGGCTTCTAATTGCGTGTTGGCCGTAGCTAGGTCGGTTTCTGCGGCCTGGCGTCCCGCTTCTGCGGTGGCGGCCTTTTTCGCGTAGTACTGCGTTGCGCAGTAGCTACACAAGACCACCATGGCACACGCGCAAAACTCTATGATTATGCGCTTCATGTGTTAATCCTTTGTATCCGCAGTTTCGCGGCACAGACAGCTCCTCGGCCGCATTACCGCACCACTCGTTCAAGCGTTCAATGACAAAAATAACATTTTCATGTGCCATATCTAGCCTGCCATCGCGGATGTACTTAATGGCACGGTTAAGCCCTTGTGTGGCGTGGATTAGCGGGTACTGTTTATATTCTGTTTCAGTCATGTTTTAATCCTCCTGTGCTGCAACATCGCCCACCATGTTGTCCAGGTCTTCCAGCATGAATATCAAAACATCACGTCGTGTGATGAGTTCACGCTCGCGCATATACTGCTCCCTGGCATCGCGTTCCTGTGAGCGTAGCTCAGTCAGCTTGTCTTGGCATTCGGCGATCTTTTTTCTACGACGTTGCGCTTGTGAGCTTTCCTCGTACCACTTCTCAAACTCCATGCCTAGACGCCTTAATATGTATTCGTCTAATGTTAGCTTGTGACACCATCCACCACCGCAGCACTCTTGACACCGGACCGATCCATTGCATTTGCACGCGTCACAACCTCGTTCGGTTTCGTATTTACTTTTGAAATATTCAAATTCTTCTCGTGTCATGCCTTAATCCTCCTGTGCTGGCAGAAATTCGCCCACCAGCTCACAATTTGCATCCTTGAGTGTGTAGTCGTCTATGGTCTTTTTGCCTGCGCACAAATCAAAGTAATCGCATTTGAAGCCCATGTTGCAGTTGTTGCGCGACTTGCAAAAGCGGCCTGCCTCTACTGCTGTATAGACGGCATCTGCATCGGCCATAGCGTCTGCAATATCGTCGGCAGTCAAATCAATCACAAACCGTGTAAAAGTGCAGCCGTCTGCGTAACGCTGCACAAATTCGTCGTCGGTTTCGGCCTTGCGTCTGCGGATGTACGGCTTTTTAAGTACATCATACAGCACCTTTTTGACGCCTACCGCATGGCAGTACAAGCGAATTTGCAGGTCCATCGCCAGTTTATCACGGTATGTGGCAAAGGCTTCATCGTTTATCACCAGTGCGGTTTTATGCTCTAATAGCATTCGTTCGCCGGTGGCCTTGTCAATGATGATACCATCCACCTGCCCTTTATAGCGTTCGGTATCAAACTGTGCCTCGATGGCTTCCACCGCATATTGCTCTAAATCGTGCGGGTATGTTTCGGCGTATCTGCTGACCATCGCCACCGCGCAGCGTTCGCGCACTGTGACCGGTGTAAAACTCTTGAAAAGGGCATCTGGTGATGCGCCCTCCCAATGCAGTGCAAGGCCAGTATGCACCATGCTACCAAACGCACGTGCATCAATATCACCGTCCTTATTGATGCCGGTGTCCGATGGGATACGGTGTTCTACATACCGCATATAGTAGGAAAAAGGGCACCGGTTATACTGTGTGATTGCACTGAATGTTAGCTTACTCATTGTTACTCCTCGCACGCCCATGTGGCCATCTGCCACCAGTTTACTTCTATGTCAAAAGTCACCGTCCAATACACAGTGTCGGCGGTTTCGCATATCGCGTTAAGATCATACATCATGCACCCCCATCACTTGTAGCACGGGTGTTCACCCGCCAGCAGTTCTGCGCGTCTATCTGCCAGTGCCGCCTCGACTTTGGTTACGACCGTTAAGGCATCCTGGCGCGCATCTATGCGCACGATCTTGCAACGCGGTTCCAACGCATCCAGCACACGCTTGTAGGCTGTTTCCAGGTGTTGCAGGTATGCCAGCGGCAGGCCATCCTCGCACCCGCGTGCGCGCTTGTTGATGCGTTGCAAGGCTTCCTCGGGTGGCAACTCCAGCCACACAATCACATCTGGGTACACGAGTTGCGGTTGCAGTGTTTCGTGCATGGACTCGTACGATTTGAACTCTTTTTCTGTGAAATAGCCGTCTTCATGTTGCACTATGGCAAAGGCATAGTCGCCATAATAACTGCGGTCCATGACGCAAAGTTCACCGTGCAGGCTGCGCAAGTGGGCCTCTTGAAACATCCTAAAGCGATTGTACAAAAGATTTACCTGCATGGCATACGCCCATCGATGCGGGTCGCTGTAGTAGTCACACAGAAAAGGGTTACTCTCTACCGGTTCTAAAAAGGGTGTAGCACCGCACCTGGCCGCAAGGGCTTGTGTTAGCGTGGTCTTGCCGACACCGATTAAAGCTTCAATGGCAACTAACATTATTCGCCCTCCCCATCACAGACAAGCATATAATCCTTTAGCGCACCCGTCAAAAGGTCGCGAACGGTGGCGGCAGGTGCTGTTAGCAAGTATGTGATGGCCATCTTTTGCCACCCTTGCAAATATTGTGCATTCTCAATCATGGCTTCCGCTTCATGCAGTTTTAAAACATTTTCGCAGTAGTAGACGGCCTGTCCCTGCATTCTGCGGGTGTAGGCGATGGCCTTTTCAAGATCGATAACTGGTGTACTGTGTTTGCGGTTACAGCGCACGATGTACTTTATCACGCAGCCGAGGTAAAAATCCGGCTGTATGAGATCGAAAAAGTCGTACAGCATGACGCCATCCGAAAGTAAGTAGTAAGGTTGTTCAGTGTATTCATTCGTATTCATGGCTTTACCTCTTGAGAGGTGCGCGGCAACGCAGGCCGCGCAGGTGGTGTTAGAACGGGATGTCGCTGTCGGTCTGCTCTGCAACAAAACCATCAGCGGGTGCGGGTGTTTCCTCTTCACTCTCAAAACCTGGCGCATCAGCGGCCGCCATCGCCTCATACTTGGTGACTTTGACGGTGATCTTGTCCGCAGCGGCAGAACGGCTTATAAATTTACGGCCCTGGTATTCGGTAGCATACATATCGATGTATATATCAGCCACAGAAAACCAGCCAATCGGCGTGCTTTTGGTGGCCTTGACGCGGCCTTTTGCCTTGACGCCTACCAGCACATCATTGGCACCCATGTGCGCGATGATGTCTTGTAGTGCGCTCGGGTCGTCTTTGAGTTCGGCATCCTCTTGCAGCTTGTTGACGGACTTTGCATTCATGAAATTTAACATTCGTGTGGGTGTCAATTCCTTTTCACTGAATGTCACTTTTTTGGCCGCTTTGGCGATGCCTAAAGCCTTTTCGGCGATCACGTCTTTATCCACGATAAAGCTGTAACCGTAGCCGAATTTGCCGGCGTTCGTCATGCCGCCAGTGTAAACTAGTTTCACGTCTTTCAATAGAATTTGCATTTTCAACTCCTATATGCGCGTGTTGCGCAGTCTATGCCAGGCCTTTAATGGTCTGTAACAATTCTCGTTTGGCATCCGGTGCCGTTCGCTGTGGGTATCGCCACAGCCACACCGTGCGGCAGCATGGCGCCACAAAGTGTATGAACTCGACGGCCTCGTCGTAGTCGTCAAAGGTTGCGTGTGTGATGTGCCCCACATCGGGGTCGTCGTACTCTACCATATACATAATGCTTGCCTTTTCTGCACATTTGTGTGCAGAGCTTCCAAAAGTAATCGTTGAAGTCGGCATCACCTAATGTTCGTTCAAACCGTTCCATCTGTGTTGCCCTCAGTAAACAGACCGCGAGTCAGCGGAAGTTTTGCAAACGGGATAGTGCTTACACGGAATAGCGTAGGCCGGTAACCGGAGCCGTCCGGCTGTTCCGCGAGGCGGTGGCTTATACCCGGAAGCGTTTTTAGATGGCGGGTGACCGCGCTAGTGGAAGGGTACAAGCCAAAGTACTCCGGATAACGGTCCCGCAATTCTGCGGAGGTACACCATACCTCGGGTTGCTCGTCTAGCATTTTACGATATTTAATTACGGCGTTTTTAAGCGACCCAATGCGGCTGTCGTTTTCTGCCAGCTCTGCCCGTAGCCGCTCGGCTTCCTCCGCTTTTGCGGCCAGCTCTGCCCGTAGCCGCTCGGCTTCCTCCGCTTTTGCGGCCAGCTCTGCCCGTAGCCGCTCGGCTTCCTCCGCTTTTGCGGCCAGCTCTGCCCGTAGCCTTTGAACTTCGTCATCAAACAGAATGTCACGCTCTGCGATTGCTAGGTTGTCTACCACGCTCTGCGATTGCCGGATGTCCACCTTTTCGGTGGTGGTGCCCTTGCTCGATTGTAAATCTTCATAACACTGTTTAAGTGTGTCGTAGACCTTGCAGGAAATAGGACTCTTTTTCCTGGTAACAAAATGCACGAGATATTCAATACCTTTGTAAAACTCTGTCATTTTGCTCCTCCTCTATATCAGTGTGTAAGGATATACCACACCAGTGGCATAAGTAGAACTGCTGCGATGCAGGCACCGCCTAAAAGATAATTCCTAATCTGCTGTAACAACGTCATTGTTTGCCTCCTTGCGTTCTGCCAATAGCACAATATTTTGTAACTCCGCCATGGTGTAGTAACGGCCACCTTTGAAATATATTTCACTGTGGCCGCAGTACCAGGTGACGGAATCACCCAAAGCGGTGTACAGCTTCACTGCGTTTAGTGCCGGTTTTATCCTTTTGAAAAAGACAACACCAACGCTACTAACTCGCATCCTTATGATCATAGTAGGCACCTTATCTTTAAAACGCGGCGTCATTGCCGAACGCTTTGTATTACTTCAAATGTTATACCAACTTTAATAAAAAAGTTGAAACGGTGTAAAACGTTCGTAAGTGCTTGAATTTACAGCGTTTGCGCATCCCGTGGCTTTTGGTGAACTGTTTGGAAATTCCGAACACCTGCCAGTGCCATAAGCCAGTGTTGCACAAACGCTACAAGCGTTGCGATATTACAACATTGGTGTGTTATTGTTGCAACACCGTTTGCATGAACTCTGCGATATCTTCTGCACAGCTCACAACGTACACGATCACACCCGTGCGCTTGTAGATGGTTTCGAACATATACAGCTGGCTTGGTCGCGGTTTCGCACCCGGCCGCTTGGTTTCCACCAGGTAGCACCTGCCACGCAGTAGCACGATGAAGTCGGGACAATCGCGGCCGTTTTCAAACACAACTTTATGCAGTTCGCCACCAGCGGCATTGACAGCCTGCCGAAGCTGCTGTATGATGTCGGATTCACGCATCGGCTACACTCCTGTATCAAAGTTCAAAAGTTTGTAAAAAGCGTCGTCATACTCATGCTCCGGTGTCCACACATCACCCGGCTTTATAATGTCGGGGTCGCCGACTTTCATAGACCAGGTACAGGGTGCGTGCAGTGTGCGGTTGGCTACCGTGCGCATGGTTTCCTTAACATCGTCGATGGTGGCTGTGTCACCTGCATCGACCATGAAAAAGACCGCATCATGTATGGTGGCACGGATATCGATGTGTTTATCATACAGCGCCTTGACGACGTTGCGCAATATGGCACCACCTGCGCTTTGAAAAGACCAGTTGCCCACGCTGGTGCGGTTGCTGTTGCTAGACGAGTATGCACAGACAAAGCCATCCGGCAGTGCAAAGCCGTGACAAGTCTTTTCGTCCGGCCGCAGGTTGTCTTTTTTCCATGCGGTGGAAACACCCAAAACGCCGTTGACGATTTGATCATGGTACTTTTTCGCATCGTCCAGGCTTAGGCCACAGCGGCCGGCGAGTTTGATAACACCCATGCCATAGGACAGCCCCAACACCATCGGTTTAACGATCTTGCGCACGCTGGCATACTTTTCTTTCAGCTGCGCTTTGCTCAAACTGTCCCAATCGGCAGACGGTATAAGGCCCATTTGACGTGCGAACGCCAGGTAAATATCTTTTGAGTTGTAAATCTTGTTATACACGGCATCATGGCAGATCGCGCACTGGCAAAAGGTTTCCTCACTGCCAAAGTCCAACTCCACCAGCCACTTGCCCGGTGGCGGTTCCAGCAGGCCGTATAGCGATTTATGCCACCCAAACAAGAAGCGCTTTGTGCTAGGTGCGCACCTGCTGGTGATCGTGCCGTATGGGTTCAAGCTGTCATAATGCAAGCACCCGTTGTAGTAGTCGTCGAACGGATTATCCTTGGTCTTGGCCACGCTGCCGAGTTGCTTCAGCAGCTTGTTTAGCTGCCTGTAATCCTCACCAAAACAATCGCACCCCTTGAAGTAGTCTTTGAGCACGTTTGATGCTACCGAATACCCGCGTTTTGTCTGTGGATACTCTTTAAGGCCGTGTGCCGCGATAAGTGCAGCCATGTGCTCCTGCGTTTTCGTTGTATCCTCATGCCACACGCCTTTTTTGTCCTGCTTGAAATTACCATGTTTGCGGTTAAAGTCCGCTTTCAGCTGTTCACGGTAGGCGATGGCGTTACGCTGTACAGCCGCCACGCGCACCGGCGACAATGGCAGACCTTTGTCGGCAATATCACCAAACCGCGCAATGTGTGCGCATTGTTCTATACACTTTGCAAGTGCCACATCAGTGTCCACAC